AGCAATGAACAGGATAGTCCGACGCTTACAAGGATTGATAGACTACTTTGCACCCCGGATTGGAAACTGACCTTCCCAACATGCTTTCTCCACTCACTCCCCTCTCTCATGTCGGACAACACGTCGCTCCTGCTATAGGGAGAGATCGAACACTACAAAAACCCTCCTTCCGCTTTGAAAATTTCTGGGTGAAGATGGAAGGCTTCAGTGAGCTTGTGGAGCAAATTTGGAAGAGACCTGTCCACTCGGTCTTGCCGCTCAAACGCCTCAACATGAAGCTGGCGAGAGTCGCTAAAGGGATTAAGAGATGGCGCAAAGAGAAAATTGGGGACACAAGGCTGCAGCTGGCCATCGTCAAGGAAGTGCAGCAGCAGCTTGAAGCGTCTCAGGAGAGCAGGGTGCTCACGCCCCAAGAGCTTCACCTGCGCCGACAGTTGAAGGCCAAAAGCACCGGCCTAGCCGCCATAAAAAAATCAAGGATCAGGCAGCGATCCAAGCTAGCGTACATTCGAAGTGGACACGCCAACACAAATTTTTTCCATATCAGGGCTAGGACAAGATTAAGGAAAAACTACGTTCACTGCCTACACACCAATGGGGGAGTTGCAGTAACACATAATGACAAAGAGAAGGTGGTGGCAGATTATTTCTCAAATCACCTTGGTTCGGTAGTGCCGAGGACGAGCACCTTCGATTGGAATGAACTAGGATACGTCCCAAGAGACCTATCCATGCTTGAAGTGCCTTTCTCGCAGGAGAGAACAAAAACACGATCAACTCCATGCCGTCTAATAAAGCGCCAGGGCCGGATGGATTCATGGGCGCCTTTTTCAAATCGTGCTGGGAAATAATCAAGGAAGACGTCACAGCAGCTTTGAATAGTATGTTCATGCTAAATTCCCAAGGATTTGAGATGCTAAATTCGGCAAATATTATTCTACTCCCAAAGAAATCGGACGCAAGGCGAGTGTCAGACTTTAGGCCAATCAGTCTCATTCATAGTGTCGCAAAGCTGTTCGCGAAGCTTCTTGCAAATAGGCTGGCCCTCCTCCTAGACTCCTTGGTCTCAAAATGCCAAAGTGCTTTTATAAAGAAAAGGGGCATCCATGACAACTTCCTTTACGTCCAGAACATGGTGCGAAGCATGCACAAGCAAAAGATGCCTGCAATTTTTTGAAGCAAGATATACACAAGGCCTTCGACACAGTTATGTTGGAAGTTCAACAGGCGTTAGGTTTCGGCCCACGATGGCGTGAATGGGTTACAATCCTTTTCCGCACCGCCTCATCAAAAGTGTTGCTTAATGGATAGCAAGGACCGGCTTTCAATCATAGGAGGGGGGTTTGACAGGGCGACCCTCTTTCACCCATGCTCTTCATTCTTGCCATGGATCCACTGCAGCGATTGATGGACATGGCAACGCAGCAAGGGTCCTCTCCAAACTACCTCTAGCGGCAGCAAGATGGAGAATCTCTATGTATGCCGATAATGCAGCAATTTTCATTAACCCAACCAAGGAGGATCTAGAAGCCACCACGACCATCCTACATGAATTTGGCATAGTGTCGGGCCTGCACATAAACCTAAGGAAAAGCACAGTCCACCCAATCAGATGCCAAGATGTCGACCTTGATCATGTCTTGGCCTCATTCACAGGGACAAGAGAATCTTTCCCGTGCAGGTACTTGGGGCTGCAGCTACATACAAGATCTCTACTGAAGGTCCACATACAACCACTCATTGAGTGCATTGCACAAATTGCTGGGTTGGAAAGGAAAGATGATGAACAGAGCAGGCAGGCTAACCTTAGTCACTACGGTGCTCTCTTCAATGCCTACTTACCATCTCACGGTGTTCCCACTAGCGGTGTGGGCTAGGAAGAAGATTGACAAAATCAGAAGATCATTCCTTTGGAAAGGAGAGGAGAACGCCAATGAGGGACACTATCTGGTGAACTAGCCAACGGTCTGCAGGCCCAAGGAGTTGGGGGGTATGGGTGTGCTAGACCTGGACAGGTTTGGTAGAGCCCCGCGCCTCCAGTGGCTCTGGCGGGAGTGGGGAGATGATCCAAAGCCATGGGTTGGCACGGACGTGTCGTGCAACGACATGGATCATCTGCTTTTCAATGCCTCCACTAGGGTCACTATTGGCGATGGCAACAGGGCGCGCTTCTGGCACCACAGCTGGTTAGAAGGAGAGACGCCTATATATGCTTAACCTATTCAAACTAGTGTGTAGGAAGAACATGACGGTTCACCAAGAATTGAACAACGGTAATTGGATTAGATCACTATGTACGCGCATCACTTCGACATTACAGGTCTAGGAGTTTGTTGGCCCATGGATCAGAATGCAGGGGGTGTAGTTATAGCCCAACGTGCAGGACACGATTACATGGAAATGGACGGCTGATGGAAACTACTCCATCCGCTCAGCATACATGATTCAGTTCCATGGATCACACCGGAAATTCTGGCATGAACTTATCTGGAGAGCGCGGGCAAAGAATAAGTGCAAAATTCATGCCTGGATCCTCCTACACAACAAAATCCTTATGGTGGATAATCTGCAAATGAGAGATTGGCCCCATCAGGACCATTGTGTCTTGTGTAACGGCCCTTTGGAGACAGGGATACATTTATCCTTGTTGTGCCCCTTTGCAAAACCTGATGGGGACGGGGTTCCCGATCTTCCATCAGGTTCAACATAACTATCGATTTGGACGGAAAGCGACACACCGATCCGGCTTCAAATCACAAAGACCCGAACCCTGCAACCTTAGCACCACGTCTCCTCTGGTTATCAACCGTGTCACAATTCGATTGACCTCACCAAGAAGGCTAACCCTGCTACAAATCGAAGAACACAAACAAGAACAAGATAAAACGCAACTCAAGTATAGTGACAATTGTGGATATATGATTAAGCACTCGAATGTGGGGTTTCACAAACCGATATCGGCGACTGTTCAAAGACAGATTAATCTAAAGCAAAACCCAAACCCTAACATAGCCGGCGGCTACTGATTATATTGCCTAAGGAGCATCCAAGGACCCTTATTCACATCAAGGAGTCCCGACACGTTACAAGGCCCAAATGGCCTAAAAGATGGCGCCGCAGCGTCCTGACAGATTCTGGATGCTAATTGTTTCGATGATTCCCGTTGATTCTGAAGCAATTTTAATGTGGGACCACTTCCATTGGTTACCTTATCAAATTATCTTTTCATCCATGTGGATCGACGAAAACGGAGTCCGTATGCGAGCTGGTACTACAGACTGTTCTGGAGCCCGAGATTGACTCGAACTTCACATGGATTGGGTCTCCAACTTGGTTTGGACGCCCTTTCTTGCCTTCTAAGGTGGTGGCCAAGGAGGAGGACGTCCTTGGGCATCTCTAAGGTTGTCTCCATCTCCTTGGGGCATGCTCTAACTTGGGCCAGAGTCCCAAGGATGAATATCAGGCCCACGACGATGACACGGCTTTCGGCAGAAACAGCGGCAACTTGTTGTGATGGTTTGGAGGCCATGCCGATGTGATTTTGAGGTCAAACCAGATCCATCTGATCAAGTGCTCATGGACCTCAAACTCACTCCGGATGAAGGAGTTATGGCCTTCCCAACGAAGTAGTGTCGTGCTGCCGGTAAACCAAATGTTCAACTTTGATGGATTTGCACTTTGAGATTGGTCTTGTTCATGGCATATCCATTCTCTATCATCATCATCATTGTTCCTAAACACATCTGGAATACCAATATTAGGTAGTAACAAATTCTTAGTTTTATCACTATGCAAACATAGGAACGAGCTCACCCTATCTTTAACTTTCACGGGTGTACCCATAGGTGTCATGTCCTCATCAAAAGCCATGTGAGATCAGGTGCTGACTTGGGAAAATTTATCTGTGCAACTCCCACAGCAAGACCCTGCCTCCTTGGCCGAATGGTGGGAAATTGAGGCTAGCAGGGTGCCAAAGCAAGATTGTAGGCATTTCAATGGAATTGTTATCTACATCATGTGGAATCTGTGGAAGGAGAGAAATAGGAGCATCTTCGAAAATGTGTTCCAACGGTGCAAAGGTCGCATACTCGACCAAAGAGGATATAGTGCAAAGACATAGGGCTATGAATTTTGGTGTGGAGGCCAACTAGCAGTGAGGCGTCTTTTTCCTCTTTTGGTGTTAGGACCATGGTGTTAGGCACCTAAGGTGCAAAGTGTACATAAAACTCTTTTCCTAACTTAATTGAGCGGCAGAGCTCCTGCCATTTCTTTCAAAAAATGGTCCTAGTATTGATGATCCCCTGGTCCTTGGGTCTACACACCATCTTCCATTTGGCCATGTGATATTTAAACTTGTCTTGGGTCCCTTGCCACTGGAAATTAGATCTGATGAAATCTATTTTTTTTGTGTACTCCGTCCTATTACCAGTAAAATCCCATACAATAGAGAGGAATACTGCTCAAGCGACTGTTAGTGAGGATCTGTCTGCCCCCTGAAGTGAGGTGCTTCCCTTTCCAAGGGTCCAACGTCTTGCCGGCAACACTGCAAAGAGCCAAAGATCACGTAGATTTTTAGATGGAGAAATTAAAGCTTATTAAAAACATAGTTCTGGCGCCAATATATACATGCGCAGAAAGTTTCCAAGATTAGACCGAGTAAATTTTTAGATGGTTTCTAAGGTATGACGCGAGCTGATCGATGACTAGTAGTAGTGACTAGTGATCACTGAAAGCAACTGGCCAGTGCGGAAATCAACTGTCGAAAAATGCCAGTTTCTAAGATTGGACTGGTGCGCAGGACGGCAGGAGGTTATACCATGCATGTACTCCTAATAATAATTTAAAGGCAGGGAGGAATTAATTGAATTTTTTTTTCCAAGTGATCGTCTAGTGATGAATTGTTGAACGGTGGTAGATAAGAGGACTGAGCAAAGCATGACCATCTAGCCGGCAGGTGAAGACCAAAGAAGCACGAGACGTCAGCAGGTTGGCCTCTAGCCATGGCGAACGCCGTCTCCGGCATCGTCCTTCTGCTCGTGCTGGGCGGCATCACGCTGTTCCCGCGGGCGACCGCCGACGTATTCTGCCACAACCTTAAACAGGTCGCCGCCACCCTCCCCAAGAACACCGCTTCTTCCAAGGTGCACTTCGCCACCACTGTCTTCGGCCAACCTCCAGACGCCGTCTACGCTCTTGCGCTCTGCCGCGGCGACGTCGACAAAGACACCACCTGCGGCGAGTGCGTAGCCACCACTTTCGACAAAATCAACTCGACACTCTCGCCGGCGCAGCAGTTACAGTGCTACCAGGCTGCCTACTACTACGGTGATGGCTGTTCCCTCGTCTACTCCGTGGACGACATCCTCTCGTCCTCCAATACGACGGGTGAAAACTACACTGGCGACGACAAGCCATTCACGAGGTTCAACACGAAAAACTGGGGCAACTGGAGCACCAACAACATCACGGGCGACGCCGATGACGTTGCCCACACCGTGGGCCTCCTTAACGAACTTATGTTGAAGACAATACAAACGGCGGCCAGCACGACGCCGGGGCGATTCACAACAGGCGTCATGGACAGCCCGACGATTGTGTTCTACTCCATGGCGCAGTGCACGCCTGACCTGTCCGACAGCAAGTGCTTGGAGTGTCTTACTCGTCTGCTCGGCACGCTCAACTTCATGACCCTGCGGATGGGAGGACAGCTCCATGTCATACGGTGTTTTTTCAGGTACGAGTCGTATCAGTTCTACGACAGCAAGCCTATCCTGCATCTCGGGCGGCCATCGGCGCCTACGCCGGTTACGGCGCCAGTGAAACACAAGAGTAAGTTCCCATGGTTGTAATTCCTGCTGCCGATGAATACTGATGATGATGATGAATACTGAATTTTATCATGTTGGTATCAGGGCGTATGTACAATTTCTGGATAATTCTGATAGCTGTATTTCCTCCAGCAGCGGCAGCATTTCTCTGCTTCATCTTCTGCTGCCCTTGCTTTAGATCATACAGAAAAGGTGTGATAATCGGTACCTGAAACTGAAGTGTATTGTTCTGTCATGCTCTTTGTTTAAATTTGTTCCTATTAGCGGAATACGTTTGACTAAAAATAAAAAGTATTTCGTCTAAATATTCAACTAAAGTAGAGAGACTAGAAGCAGGATCAAGGCGTACTAGGGACTTGAAGGCACAGGAAGAACTAATTTGGCAAGGGAAGAGCTCATCAGAGTTCTCCGTGTTTGAGTTTGAACAGTTACTGGAGGCCACAGATAACTTTTCAGAAGAAAACAAACTTGGGCAAGGTGGCTTTGGCGCTGTCTACAAGGTACTGTAAGTAAATACAAAAACATCATATCTATCGCTGAGGAAATAGACGACTATATCAACATCATATCTATCATCATTTTGTCTCAAGGAAACTGGCCCTAAATTTTGACATCTCTTCCGCCAGGGCCAGTTTCCCGAGGGATTGGAGATAGCGGTGAAGAGACTTTCTTCACATTCCGGACAAGGTTTCATGGAGTTCAAAAATGAAGTCCAGCTCATAGCCAAACTCCAACACATGAATTTGGTTAGGCTCTTGGGGTGTTGCTCTCAAGAAGAGGAGAAAATATTGGTTTATGAATACTTGCCAAACAAAAGCTTGGATTTCTTCATCTTTGGTAACACATTTACATTTCTTAATTTATCGATCTTAGGCATAATTTTCGTAGAAGCATCAAAAGGACTAAAACTTACTCGAACAATTGTTTCTGTCAGGGCCATGAATCCAGTCCCTATGTAACTGAAATAGATTAATCTATTTGCAGATGAAAATAGAAGAGCTTTACTGAATTGGAACAAACGTATAGCAATAATTGAAGGAATAGCACATGGGCTTCTCTACCTACATAAGCACTCGCGGTTGCGTGTCATACATCGAGATCTTAAACCAAGCAACATTCTTTTGGATGGTGAAATGAATCCTAAAATTTCAGACTTCGGCCTAGCAAAAATCTTTACTTCAAATAACACTGAAGAAAGCACTACAAGAAGAGTGGTTGGCACATAGTAAGTTTCATATAAACTGATCATGCACTAATGGAAATTTATGCTTGGCTAAACCATATATATACACTAATTTAACATATACTATATGTTTCATTTCAGTGGCTACATGTCTCCTGAGTATGCTTGCGAGGGTCTCTTCTCAATCAAATCTGATGTATTCAGCTTCGGTGTTCTCGTTCTTGAGATCCTTGGTGGTAAAAGGAATTCTGGCGGCCAAGACTATGGAAATTTCATCAATCTCCTTGGATATGTGAGTTGGATGCACATGTACCTTACAAAATTATTTTGTTTATTTGTACCCTATACATATAAATATACAATTCTTTGATGAAATTACAAACAGGCATGGAAATTATATGAAGAGGAAAGATGGGGCGAGCTCATTGACTCATCATTGGACACCATTAATCACTCAGAAGAAATGATGAGGTGTATGAACATTGCATTGTTGTGTGTACAAGAGAAAGCAGCTGATCGTCCGACGATGTTAGATGTCGTTGCAATGCTAAGCAACAAATCTATGGTCCTGGTTAAGCCTAAGCATCCTGCATATTTCAATCTGAGTAGCGTAGGAAACGAAGAGGCCTCCATTGCTACGCAGCCAAGCAGTATTAATAATGTGACCATATCTGTAACAACTGGTAGATAGGTTTTCTTTCACGTCATGATTTGTTTCTACAGAGCCAACGTAACTGTCTACTTGTTGCTGGAAGCCTGGAACTACAAGGAGTAAAAGTCAGTACATAATTGATATAAGATCCTAGTGTCGAGAAGAAGAAAAACATGATAGAGCATTTATTCTGTGTGATTTTATGGCTTGTGATAGTCGGTTACTGCAACTCTGAGACACAATTCAGACTGACTTCAGCTTCCAAGTGATCAAAACATACTGTTTTTTTTTATGAAATCAAAAACATACTGTGATACACTGATACTGACTAAATTCGCTAGTTCATACAAAAGCTAAAGATGAGTCAAAGTCAGGCAGTTAGTTATCATATCGGTGACTGACTGTAAAGGATCAGCTTATCTGGCAAAGCTACGAATTAATTATTCCTGACAGCGAACGAATTTTCACACGCTGCAAGACTAGACCAGATCAAATGGAAGATCTAGTCAGCAACAGCATCCTGACTAAATCCAACCGATTATTCTTGCGAGGAAAGTTGAAGAGAATATTAATCTACATGTTGACAGCGAGAGGGAAGTTTGACCAGCTGAACTGTTGTTGGCGGCTGGAACCAGCAGTCCTATCCCCAATCTGACGAACGTGAGTTCTAGGTGGTGTGATCCGAAAATACGAAGTTGATGACGTGGCAGCTGGTTTGAATATGGAGAGTCTCATTTTAGTTTGATGACGTGGCAGCTGGTTAGATAGCTTGGTGGAGCAGTCTAGTTTTTTTTAGATAAAATTCATTTTAGAGAATAGATAAATCACTAAATTTAGATATTTCTTTTGGCTAGTCTCTTGGAGTTGCTCTTAGGACCCTTTTGGAGTTGCCAAAGCCAAGTTCATGGATTCCGAAATAGCATTTGACAATAGACGGATCTAGGTGACATGTAGGAGCCACGTCAATGCACAGTCAGCATGCCATGTCAGCGTACAGAGTGGGTTAGGATCCGTTTGGACCTGGTGATATCCAAAACCAAGTTCATGGACCCAGAAATAGCATTTTGAGAGTAGAACTATTGCCAAGTTGAAGGACCGACCATAAATTTTCCTCGTACGAGAAACTATTTAGTCAAACGTAGTGAGTCAGATTTATAGGTAGTATTTCAAACTGTTTGGAAAACAAAAAAAACATATGGGTGAGTTTGCACTCACCTAAGGCCACGTTAGCACAAACAGTAAGTTGAGCCAAATAATACTAAGCTCTCTGTATTATAGAATAGTCTTATGTCGGATGGTAATAGTATAATGCTAAGAATGTTAATATTGAAGTTCAAGTGAATTGTTTGTCTTCCTTCATCGACTTAGTCATTTGGGTCAATTATATGTTGCGTAGTACGTAGTTCAATACTTCAACATAGTGAGAGGTAATAGGAAGTTATCAAAAGTCCAGTTTATCTTGAAACAAGGAAAAATCACTTTTTTTTAAGGAGAATGAACTCTGCTTTACATCACTGGGGATACCAGTTTGTAAATGAAAAAGAACAGTCAAGAGCTGGACTAAACGCAGACACTAAAACACTTGACCAGGCATAAAGCCAGCAAAAGACTCCAGAATCAAATTTCACACACGTCTGTCACCACCATTGTACTAGGAGTAAACTTCTCCATCCAGCTCATCATGATGGCGTCCTTGATGTGCAATAGCTTCTCCCTATCCGCTTCCTTAAGCAAGATACTCCACTTCTGCATGAAGGATAAAGCAACATAGATGATGTTAGTGGGAGCTTTTGTAAATTTCTTCTCTATAGCCATCTTGTTCCTTGAGGTCCACAAAGCCCATGAGAAACATGTAAATATGAACATAATCAAACAAAGTGAAAGGGGCCCCTTGCCCTGCAGCCAAGTTTCAGAGAAGTCCATTAAGGACTTGGGGAAAGAAATCCCAGGAAATATTTCCTTCAACCTGGCTAAGTGACATTGAAAAAAGATATGATCAACCGTTTCTAGTTCCCCACAAAAGCAGCAATGGCCATCCCCTTTTCAGAAGAGGTTGAGCCACTTGCAGTTTATTGTTAAAGACCTGCCAAAGAAAGAATTTTATTTTCAATGGCATCCTGCATTTCCAAATAATCCCAGCCACCCTGCTGACCACCCCTCTGTTGGTGTAAATTTGTATAAGGACTTAGTGGAAAAGATACCCTTTCTTTCCAAAGCCCATGAAACTGTATCATGACTATCTCCCTAAATTTCAATTAGATTCAATTCTGCATAGAGATTCAGCCAACTGTTGTATTCATAAGCAGAAAGAGCCCTCTTGAAATCAACATTCCAATCCCCTTCTTCATAGCATTCTGCCACTGTACAGTTAGGCATCCTCACCATCTTATAGAGATCCTCATAACTGATCATCAGAGGGACCTTATGCAACCAAGTGTCTTGCCAAAATTTGCAAATTCTACCATCCCCTAATTTGAAGATAGCCCCCCACTTAAACAAGTGTTTGACTTTATGTAACCCTTTCCAATATTTGGAAGAGCCTTTGACAGGAGAAGAGAACCATATTTATGTAACACCCATCCATTTTTTTAGCTTTGAGTTCGATCCATGTATTCAACTTATATCCAAGAGGGTGTTCCCTCAGACAAAAGTCCTCTCTGGAAAGTAAAGATACCACTAAAAATTAAGATTTTCCTGTGGTATTTTAAAAAAGAGGTAAGAAAGATAATTTAGCCAAGAGGAATTAGCAGGGAAGTGTCAAATGTTGTCTTTGTAGTTTGGTTGAAACTATTCAACATTTATTCTTTGACTGCTACTTTGCACGCTTTGTCTGGAATACCGTGCATATCACATATGGAATTCAACCTCCCGCTAGTTTCACCAATATGCTAGGTTCCTCTCTACATAGTTTAAGCCTAAAAATTAGAAACTAAATTTTGTTGGGAGCTGCTGCGCTATGCTGGTCGATTTGGTTGAATAGAAATGATATGGTATTTAACAAAGCTAAACCTAATACATCAATGTAGGTAATTTTCAGGACAACGTATTGGATATGACAGTGATCCATGTTGTAGAAGGAGGAGAGACTAATGTTCTTTGAGGGATGCAGAAGATATGAGAGACGTTGATCATGGCCGTCTTCACGAAGTTCGGTTGGAACTTCATGAATCGTATTGAAGCTTAGTATTTTGCTTTGTTCGTTGCGCTCACTAGTTGGGATGAACTTTATTTCTTTTCCCTGGACGTGTAAGCCTTATGGCGTTGATGTTTTTCTATAGATGGTAGAGGCTGGAACTTTTTTCCATTATCTAAAAAGAAATAGCTTTGAGCACTCTGAACCATATTTCATCAGCCTGTTGCAAGATCTTACAAATCCATTTGACAAGCAAGGCCTCAATGATGTGGTGAAGCAAGATGCAGTAAGCTTACTAGTAAGAGACATGCTGCCACCATCGTCTGCCTCCAAGAGACGAAACTGCACAACATGGACCAGGCTGTTGTGCAATGCTCGGTGGGTGCAAAATTCACAAACAATTTTGTCGTCCTGCCGGCTGCCCAAACAAGAGGCGGCATCCTTCTCGCAGCAAATGAGGATTTCTTCGACCTCTCCAACCAGCACCTGTCCACAAACGTTGTAACGGCAACTCGCACGATGAGAGCAGATGGGACCTCATGGCAGATAACAGTGGTCTATGGACCGCAAGGGGACGCTGAAAAGCTCCAGTTCCTACAAGAGCTCAAAGCTATCCGCCTATCCCCAGGCCAGCACATGGGAGGTGGCTAATCCTAGGCGACTTCAATCTCATCTACCAGGCGGAAGACAAGAACAATTCAAATTTAAACCGTCGTCTCATGGGGGCCTTCAAAGCAGCGATTGTTGAGCTGAATCTAAAGGAGCTAAGGCTCAATGGGCAGCGTTTCACCTGGAGCAATGAACAGGATAGTCCGACGCTTACAAGGATTGATAGACTGCTTCCCAACATGCTTTCTCCACTCACTCCCCTCTCTCATGTCGGACAGCACGCCGCTCCTGCTATATGGAGAGATCGAACACTACAAAAACCCCTCCTTCCACTTTGAAAATTTATGGGTGAAGATGGAAGGCTTCAGTGAGCTTGTGGAGCAAATTTGGAAGAGACACGTCCACTCGGTCTTGCCGCTCAAGCGCCTCAACACGAAGCTGGCGAGAGTCGCTAAAGGGATTAAGAGATGGCGCAAAGAGAAAATTGGGGACACAAGGCTGCAGCTGGCCATCGTCAAGGAAGTGCTGCTGCAGCTTGAAGCGGCTCAGGAGAGCAGGGTGCTCACACCCCAGGAGCTTCACCTGCGCCGACAGTTGAAGGCCAAAAGCACCGGCCTAGCCGCCATCAAAAAATCGAGGATCAGGCAGCGATCCAAGCTAGCGTACATCCGAAGTGGAGACGCCAACACAAAATTTTTCCATATCAGGGCTAGCACAAGATTAAGGAAAAACTACGTTCACTGCCAACACACCAATGGGGGAGTTGCAGTAACACATAATGACAAAGAGAAGGTGGTGGCAGATTATTTCTCAAATCACCTTGGATCGGTAGCGCCGAGGATGAGGACCTTCGATTGGAATGCACTAGGATACGTCCCAAGAGACCTATCCATGCTTGAAGTGCCTTTCTCGCAGGAAGAGATCAAAAACACGATCAACTCCATGCCATCTGATAAAGCGCTATGGCCGGATGGATTCACGGGCGCCTTTTTCAAAGCATGCTGGGAAATAATCAAGGAGGACGTCACAGCAGCTTTGAATAGTATGTTCATGCCCAATTCCCAAGGATTCGAGATGCTAAATTCGGCAAATATTATTCTACTCCCAAAGAAATCGGACGCAAGGCGAGTGTCAGACTTTAGGCCAATCAGTCTCATTCATAGTGTCGCAAAGCTGTTCGCGAAGCTTCTTGCAAATAGGCCGGCCCTCCTCCTGGACTCCTTGGTCTCAAAATGCCAAAGTGCTTTTATCAAGAAAAGGAGCATCCATGACAACTTCCTTTACGTCCAGAACATGG